TTTTTCAGCAGGTGACTCGGGGGCACTTGAGAAAAGGAACAGCGAAAAGATTTTGGGTCGCGTTGGAGTCCAGGGCATGGGAGACAAGCTTTGAAAGTGATCTTGGGCTTCTCATTTCTCATGGTAGGTGAGCACACAGTAAGAAAAGCAATGGGCCTCCATCAAAATCATAGCTTATTTTGATAAATGCATTTAAAAGTACAAGGAGACCATGAATATTTATAGCATTGGAACAGACTGACGTGTAATTTTATTTCCATTAGAATTTAAAATATTTTGATGATATGATTGCAGATAATTGAGAGCAAAGGGAAGTATGTGCTCATACGCAATGTACCTTGTATGCAGGAGAATATTCCAACACACGTTAAAGGAAAAAGCCTTCAGCTGGATCCTAACTGCATTCATACTCATGCTCTAATAGAGAGATCTTAGTCACATCGTAGGCCACTGTTATATCAGCGGAGAGAGGGAACAAATATCTACCTCGCCACTGGAAACAGCAGCCTGAACTGGTGCTCTTGGCTACACAGATCTGCGGAACTGCTTTGATCCAAAACCTCTTCAGCTGGTGTTCCTGGATTTTGAACAAAGCTTTTCTGCAAGGGCAGATGCAAGACGCTACCTCTGGCATATGTGATCTCCACCTGCAGCCCGGGGAGGACCCCACGCTGGAGAAGGGGGGTGCCTGAAGGAGGCTGTGACCCCATGGGAAGCCCGTGCTGGGAGCAGGGTCCTGGTAGGGCCTGTGGCCCCGTGGGGAGAGGAGCCCAGGCTGGAGCAGGGGCAGAGTGTGAGGAGCCCTCCCCTGAGGAGGAAGGAGCGGCAGAGACAGCGTGTGGTGGACTGACCCCAACCCCCATTCCAGTCCCCCTGTGCCACTTGGGGGGGGAGGTAGAGAAAATCAGGAGTCAAGTTGAGCCCAGGAAGAAGGGAAGAGTGGGGGGAAGGTGTTTTAAGATTTAGTTTGTTATCTCTCATTACCCTACTCTGATTTGATTGGCAATAAATTAAACTAATTTTCCCAAGTCAAGTCTGTTTTGCCCATGACAGTAATCGGTGAGTGATCTCTTCCTGTCCTTATCTCAACCCATGAGACTTTCATCATACTTTTTCTCCCCCTGCCCAGCTGAGGAGGGGAGTGATAGAGCAGCTTGGTGGGCACCCAGCGTCCAGCCAGGGTCAACCCACCACAAAGTCCCAATCTCACAGTGAAGTTTCACATCGTGCCGTACTCCTGGCTAAAACAAGCAGCATGTTGCTTCAGCTCCCTCATTTATATCATCACACGTTCTTTAAGTCCCCACTTCTTCAAGAAGTTACAGTATTTTGAATAATACCAGGCAGATTTTTCCTTTTCTGCAATCCCACAAAAATTTTCCCGTTCCAAATTTGAACACCGTCTTTGTTTTGGCAATTCAGGGCATTGGTTTTATCCATCACACTAGGTACAGCTGTAACAGTTCCTGCCCCGTAAGCCACAGCCGTTGCTACGGTGCAGTGGAAATCAATAGCATTTTTTCTGTACATCAGGGATTTCCCATCGATATTTACATATAACAAGTAAATGAGCATGGGTTCCACACATCTGAATAAGCCCGGGGGCTTTACCCCTGTTGGCACCTCTGGGAATATCAAACTGTGTGACACTGTGACCCGATTCAGTTTTTGAAGGTTTCCCCCCTCCTTTCTGAAGCAGCCTTCCCCTCAGTTAAGCTCTGACACTAGGGCCCTTCCTTTCACGCCTTCTACTTCCCCCTCCAGCTCTTGAATTAAATACTCTGTTTCAGCAACCTTCCTATCCAAGCAAGCAGTTAAGACATCAGACTTGCTTTACACAGACAGAAGAAAACAGCAAAACACTACTTCTTGCTCAGGTGATTCGTATACTTGTCCCATCCAAGGGAGCCCGAAATACCGCACCATTAATCTGGACTGTGCCAACTGTTACATAAAGGACAATACCTTAAATACATTACTTGTAGGTTTTAGATTAACAAATTTCCACCAGTTAATCCCTATGCCGATACTGCACGGTATCTGAATTCATTCCAGTTCAGCAGCTGATTCTAGCATGCTAGCATGATTCTGGATGGAGCGGTTGGTGGAGAAGTCTGATGGGATGCTGTTTGCTCCAAACAAGAGGCCTGTACTCAGTACAATCCAATACCTGTATTAAATAAACATACTGCCTAAATTCAATACCTATATACTACCTAAATTCAGTAACGAATGATTACTTAGTTGCTAATCACTCCCCAAATGGTTGTTAGTCACGGCAATTAAGACTACAAATTATCAACACAAAAAAGGTCTCTTCCACATTTTTTAATGCTTTCTCTTGTTTTTTTTAATTGCTTTTTCTGCTTACAATTTTCCTAGCTACAGTGGGCATGGAGATGGATTATGAAACCCTTTCATCCTATTTACAGCAGCAACAGCATTTCAGATTCTGGCCTGGCCTGCTGCCAGATACAAGCAATACATTTCCTCCAGTTGCAAGCAATAAAATTATTCCGCCTTTGTTATTCCGCATTTCCCTGGATCTTTTTGAAGGACATCCGTGATTCTCTGCCAGCGCTGCTGTGATGAATTATATGCTTTAGCTGTTTAGCACAAGGGTGAGCTATACAAAGCCACAGGAGGATGAATTTTAAAAATGATCCACATGAGCTTTTATTCTTTTTTTAAAACTGATTTCATAATAGTAATGCAAATAAAAAGTCTTAAGTGCAGTTAGGGAGACAATAGAAATTATGAAATTCACAGGCTGGTTGCTGGTTTTTTTGCATGCTGCATGTCTGTTTTCTGGGATTTTAGGATCAAAAAAATTAAAAGCTCCATTCAGCTTGGGAGACTCGATGTCAGGTCTATGCCTCCCTGGCGCTTCTGTGCTTTTGAAATACCTGCTCTCATCTCCTCTTCTTTTACCAGAGTTTATGCCAACATGTTTATGGTAGCACTCTAGTCTACTCATTAAATTACATTTACAAGTAATTTAATTAAGCATATTCAGAGTTCTTGCGCACAGTGTCAGTTTTGAGACTCTTTCAGTTCTGACTTTCATAATCATGAATTCTTTTCTTTTTCCATTGAAAAGGATACAATTTTTCCTCCTAAAATGTATATTTTGGGGAGATGGCAATCTTCTAATTTCAAGTGCATTAAGACTGTATTTTCTCACATATTTCCTTATATTTTATTGTGAAGAAGGTGAGGTTTTCTGCCTGAAAACATTACCGTGATTAACAAAACTGGTACCTTGTCCTGTTTCTTCAGTTTTTTAAATTTTCATTTAGTGGTCCATGAGTGTCAATTTTAAACATTAAAAACGGCAGAGAGATAGTTCTGTTGACTGCAAAGCTGTGTCCCTTTCGTGAATGTCCCATTTATGCCTTCCCATTCAGGCAGGTTATAGTAACTTTCATGTGAAATGTTCTGTTTTACCTGACTCCATCCAAATTCTTAGGTCACTTTCATCACTGTGCTGTCATAACATATTCCATCAGTAAGCGAGGTAAGCCAGATCTGCTGTTTGTTTCCTTTTCCCTTCCTCTCTCCAGAAGGAAGTTTGCTTGACTATATTAGTTATTAAAGGCTATCACGAGAAAAAAAAAAAAAAAAAAGTAACTTGGAGTAATAAAAGCCAAAGTTTAGAAACCCTCTTTACTTCTTTGTGGAATAAAACACATTTTAATTGTTAAACTGGACCTGCCCTTTGAATTCAAGCTCATTCGCTAGCTTTACACAGTACTTTTATCCTTTTTGCTTTAAGTTCTGGGGCACTTTATAATTTGATACTATTCCTTTCTTTTTCTTTTCCTCTGGTTTAGGGGAGTTTGCTTTTGAATGGCGGAACACACAGAGTGTACATGTAAAGACAGATATGTATCTATGCATAAAAGCTGTCATATATTGGTTATTCATCTAGTATCCCATTCTACTTAAATATTAAAGCAAAGAGTACTCTTGTCCCTTTTGCTGTCTTCTCTGATCAGTCATTACTCCCAGCTGTTGCTCTGACCCGAAGGCTCATTCTCAAACGCCAGATGATGGCAAGTGCCCGAGGCCACCCAAGGTTTCCCTCGACCCCTCTCCCCGGAGGGGTTACGAGGGGGTTGGCTCATTACCGCGCGGCAGATGCCAGCTCAAAGACGGACTGCTGCCTTCACCCCCCGCCCTCTCTGATCTCCCACTTGACGCCTCCTGCGATTGCACACACGCGTCCCTACAAAACCAAGATGGCGGCCCCCGGGCAGGACCACAGAGCCTGCCGACCTCGGGGCAGGGC